GAGTATGAACGACGATTTTCAAACAGATGAGTGTCAAGTCGTCAAACATTTGATTCTGTGATTCGACATCTGCGAACGCATGGTTCCAACAATATCAACTAACTATGAACGTCCTGAACAGCAAAATTTCGCATTTCAAAAAAGAATCTGCTTTTCAACGACGATTTTCTATATACGTCTGATATGGCATCTTATTTGTTACTAATATTTATATAAAAGGTACAGTTACAAGGCAAAGTACAAGTAATAAATGTTGACGCTCGGGTCAATTTAGGAATCATATTGTTTATGTTATTTATTTCTGTATTAGGATTGTTTATTAGCATACCATTCTTATTTTCAACCTGCAAAGAATTCGGTTGTCAAAATATTGAATGCAACCATTAAAAATTATTGAAAATACCTTCATACCAAGATAATAATAATTCGAGGCTTCTGCTTCAACAATTTGTTTACTTGTTATCTATTAAAAGTTCTGGACTTCTTTGTTTTATATCCCACAGAACGTTTTCTTTAGAAAAGGCATTAATTTCGTAAATTTGCTAATATCACTGGTCTTGTTTTGAGCATCATTGAATCAGAACATCTTCATTTACTACCATTGCTTTTTTCGCACCATCCCATCCTTCGGAACAATCATATGCTTTTTTCTAACTTTTCCTGGATTTCATTGGTAATAATTCATCATTGACAGAAGCGGCTGCTTCTTTAATATCGAATGCAATGTTTTCTTCGCGATAGTTTCTTCGCTATTCATCTCTAAACAATTTTTTAATGATTTGGAGACTTATAAAAATATAGGCTTCGAAATGCCAAAAACGTCTGCCAACAAACAAGTGTGATATATGCCTATTACTTTGCTGTTAATTCAATATTTAGCAATTTAGTTCCTTTTCTAGCATTTGAATTATATTGTTTATAAGAGTCCAATAAATGATAACAGACGAGTGGAAAAAGATATAAATAATTTTGCAGGTCAATTTTGCGATACCCTGTGTTTATGAATAAGATATTATTACAGTTATAAATGATAAATACATACAATACTGGTGGACTAAAAATATAAGAATATTGATGCGGAATACTGTATTTTCTTCGCGTGTGTGGGCAGTCAGAGTTTCTGTTTATATTTGAATTAAAATATTACTTTGTGTATATAATATATACTACTTCGGGGAAATCGATAGCGGCTAGGCTCTTTATCAAATAAACTTCACTAAAATCAATAGTATTCCTTGCGTCTCGCGGCTGCTAGTTGTTGCTTTCTCGGGGGACAACGGTTGTAGGAATACGTTGCGAGAAAGCTAATCGCAGACCATTTTAGAAAATTATATTTGGGTACAGAGGAAAAGCGCGTTTGTCAAAAACTAGAATAAGAATAAACGTTTCTAATTAAGAAAAGCGTAACGATGTTTCAAGGATTGTGGCGTAATGTGTCACAATGTATAATGTACAGGGTTATTGGTTATAAATGTCATTCAATTCAATTTTTATTTTTAAATTTAAAAAATGCCCTAAATCGAGTATTTTAGAATTTATAATGACACAGAATTTTGTTTTAAAAGACGTAGCGTGGCAAACTAAACCTATTATCACCTTATTGTAATAAAACAAAAATACGACAGGTAATAATAGAATATGTCTTTTTTTAAGCTAAACCTATATTTTTTGAGCACCCTGTATATAGCTTGACGAAGGTAGAACTCTTTTATAACATAACAGACATACAATAAGAATTAATAGGTCTACCTTCAATGATAAGAAAAATTTGATAATAAGAAGAGCATGGCACTTATGATCTAGTCTAGAGTCTAGAGACTAAATATATAAACCTCAATTGCTTTTTTATTATATGAATGGCTATACACCTATAAATCAAGACACATTGTATATATAAGAGGAATTATCTGACATTAAAAAAATCATGATAGGTGGGTAGAAATGGCCTTCACCAGGTCAATATACAGGGTGGCCCATTTAAAGGGGTATTTACTGGCTAATTTGATTAACTCGATTAATTTTCGATATGTTTTTATAGGATTTCTTGAAAATGGCCTTTTTATATTGACACTTGTGTCATGGTTATACGAGATATATTGCAAAATTATTTATAGATTGTATCCATTGTTACAAAATAACCAACTTCACTGGCATTTTTCCTAAAAGATAACAAGTTCGCCAACATTTGTTTGCAGGTCACCAAACTATACATAATGGTCTTTAACTACAGTTAGTTGGCGAGTTACAAAATGTTCAATTTTATTTAAAAAAAAATTGATTTGAAATACGAACTAGAAAAGATAATTTATTGAAATTGCGTTTACGACTCATCAAAGCCTTTTATATCGCCATGTTCGAAAGTAAACGTATGTGACAGCATATTTATTGAGACAAATAAAACTGTACGCTACTGATATTTGAAATCCTTGAAATTTTTATTTAAAAAATTTTTTCTTATAAAATTTTACTAGGAACAGCCATTTTCTAACAAATTACAAAACAAGTAACGGCTACAAAATCGTGTACTTAAGATTCTTAAGATTGGGTGAGATATAATCTACAAAATATATGTCGTATGTTAAGTGTCATTGCTAGTCAATGCCTAGTAGCATTACTTTGGACCAATTGGCCAAGTGTGTATTTTTTTATATGTTTATTTTTTCAGCACGATATTTTTGGTTAGGCAAAACTAATTTCATAAAAATAACCTTTCATTGACCTTTTGAGCGCAAGACTATTCAATTAATATTTTTTTTTTTCAGGCTGCAAAATACCCAAATGAACAGAAAGAAAATTCTAAGGCTATGACGCAAATAAGTAACTTCAAACAATACAGGGTGTCCCGAAATTCATGCAACAAAATTTGGTCACATATTCTTAAGACAAATTTAGGGGACCTGTATTTTTTATTTTTGCCAAGTGACCTCCTCTTTCGGAGTTACAGCCCCCTGAAGTCCGGCCCTAAGAATAATCTTTTTTTTTAATATCTCAGAACCCTGTTCTAAGAGAATCACTAAATTTGGTACACAGGGGTTTTATGACATGTGGAATGTGATGGTGCTACGGTTTTTGGCGGGGAATCCCCTTAAGACAATTTTTCGTGGGCCCCTTTGTCTTTGTAGCCAAAAAAATTTGGTCGCATATTTAAATTTCTTAAAAATTATCAGTCCACTAGAAAGTCATTAAATTTAGAAAGTTTTTGTCTATTTATATACTTTTTCGTAAAACGCAATGTTTTGGAGAAAAAAGTCAAAATGTGATCGAATGCATATCGCGATTCACCATTTTCCTCATAAACATTGCGTTTTACGTAACAAATATCAAGGGCCAAAAAAGTTTCTATATTCAATGGCTTTCTAGTTAGCAAATAATTTAAAAAAAAAATCAAATGTGCGACCAAATTTTTCTGGTTCCAAAGACAAGGGGGTCCAAGAACAAGTGAACAAGGGGATTTCTCGCCAAAAAGCGTAGCACCATCAGATTCTACATATCATAAAACCCCTGTGTACCTAATTTACTGATTCTCGTACAACATGATTTTGAGATATAAAAAAGACTTCTTAGGGGTAGATTTCAGGGGGCTGTAACTCCGAAACCTGGTCAGTTGGCAAAAAGAAAAAATACGGGTCCCCTAAATTTGTCTTAAGAATTTAGGACCAAATTTTGTTGCAAGAATTTCAGGACACTCTGTATACCTACGTTTCTTTATTATTTTTTTGGCTGGATTAGGTTAGGAAATATAACACTATTACGTTTCGTCGACGTTTAGTCGTTTCTACTACATCTTCAAGTCTCTATATTAGTAAAAAAATTTTCGTTTTTATAATACAATGTAATATACAGGGTGTTACAAATTAGTAGGTCAACCTGTTAATTACATATTCTTTGGACTAAAATATAGGAACTTTTCAAAATACAGAGTACCAAAATTAAAATTTAAAACATGATTTTCATTGATAACTCCGATCATTGTAGAGATATTTATTTGAAATTTAGCACATATTTTGATCGTAAGTAGGCACACTTTTTGTGTAATTTTCGTTTAAAATAGCAAAGCGCGAATGGACGGGGGGTTGCAGTACCTATGGACCCCCCATTTTTTTTTGAGTTTGTCTATGCCTTCCGAATATTTTTTTTAGATTAAGCGGTGTTTTATTCTATTTCACTCTTATAAGATTTTGATTTGGGGCCTCGTTTACGAGATATTGTAACTTTTTTGAATACGCGACATCGATTTAGTCGATGTTACACTTTATTTTTTGGGACTATATGAAATATTTGAGTGTTATCTACTTCAATTCACTGAGTAAAATGGAAATGATCTTCATGATCAGTGATATTTAATTTGAGCTAAATCTAACATATCTAAAAAAGTTGCAATTTCTTGTACAGCAAGGCCCAAATCAAAATATGTGGTTTCAGTCTAAAGTGTTCTTTCTTTACCTCATACAATCCGTATCTTTAACTGTTGTTTAGTTAGTTTTGGTACCATATAAAAGAAATTTTTCATAAAATCGAAATTTTAATTTTGACACCCTGTATTTTGGGGTTTCGAAATAAAAAGTGGTATAAGAAAAGTCCCATTATTTTAGTCCAAAGAATATATGGTTAACTGCTTGACCTACTAATTTGTAACACCCTGTATAGTTAATTAATTTTGAAATATAATAAAAACAGAATAATTAAGCCTATAAAATTGACCACCTACGTACAATAAAAAATATATAGAAATTATTTTTTTTTCAAATAATTAAATTACATACATATAATTTAATATGTTCAAAATTACTGCATGCTTTTTACAGTTTTTTAAATTAATCAACTCTACATTTCATTGTGGACAAAAACGAAAAATGATTTAATCGATTTCTGAGGATGTCGTAATAAAAACCACGAAACGTCGACAAAATGTAAAAACGTTTGTTATATTTTCGGACCTAATCCAATCTAGTTGGCTCGTCTCGAGTCCCCGTTTAACCAGAAAGACGTTTCCGACTCACCTCATCGTAGATAAAGTTGTCTATCTCCTCCAGCGGCCTGCCATACAACCTAGAAGGGAACGGTTCGAATTTCGCTGGCAACCTGGAACCGTCCTCCACACTCAACTTCCTCCTGGGCTGGAAGCCGTACTCCCGCACAAGTTGCACCGTCTTCTTCTCGAGCCTCTCCAACGACTCCTTGGTGAAGGGCTTCACCTGGGTCTTGCTCCTTGGCGGGGGCGCCCTCAGCGGGTCCGAGTTCCTCTTCTGGGCGTTGAACCCAGCCAGCTCCGCGTCCAGGGGCTGTTCGACGCCGCTGTCGGGGCCGCAGGGGTACGAGATGGGCCGCCTCTGTCTGAGCGCCCTCCCGTCGTCTTCGTCGGCGTCGTCCCGGATGTCCTGGGGCAGGTCGAACCCGGGGGCGCCGTCCGGGTGCGGGGGGTCGGCGAGGAGCAGCGGCTCGAGGTCGGGGGGCGCCTGGGCCGGCGCCTCGTGCGGGGGGCTCGACATGAGTTGTCTTATCTGGCCGCAGGGCTCTCGAAGCGAAACGGCATGGCGAGAGGATCGCGGTAGACTGGCCGAGAGCGGCGCGAGGCGTCCCGGCGGCGGCGCACTCGGGGGGCGGCGTATGGAGCGGCGGCGGCGGTACGGACTTCTCACGTTGCTACGGCTCTAATTGTGGGCACACTGGAACGGCCTGTTTACGCGCGTTTTTTTTCCGCTGCGGCCTGTGTGTAATGCGGGCAAAGTTCTTGATTTAATCATTATCGAACATTTTTAACTTATACTTAATATTAGTTCAGGCGGTATCTGTTTCGGATTGGGTAAAAGACATACGATCGGAGATTTTTGCTTTAACGGCTTCTAAATAACATCAGAAATTATAATATTTCTATTCAAATAAAAAAAAACGTGGGCTTAATTGTTATTGCAAAAAAAGTATAAAAAATAGCAAAAAAAATCGTTTTTTTCTTGGATTTCTCGTCGACAACTTAGCAACTATTCATTTTAGACAAAAATGGAACAGGAAACAAAGTTTGTAATTAAATTTTGATCAAGATAGAGTTAGTTGCAATTCGATAAAATGCTAGTTTATTTGTTAGTTTTTTTCAGACACTTGAATAATACCTAGGTCTTCATACTTTTCCCAATTAAACTTCTTAGTGCATAGAATCATCACACCAAATTTCATACAATTCGGTTCCATAGTTTTTACATAATACCTCATTTTTTAAATTTTTTTTATTAATTAAAATTTTTTAAAACCAAATTTCTAAAAATCTAAAGCCTTTGAAAACTTGAAAATTTCACCACAAAAAGAAGAGCTCTCAAGCTTTAAAATGGTTTTTGAAAAATTCAAATCGGACAATTAGGTGAGCCGTGGTGTTTGTTTAAACATTTTCGCAATTTTCACGCTTATAAACAATTGCAATAATTTAATGTTTTTTTATTTTTTTTTTAATTTTAAAATATGGTTTGAGGGTATACTATATATATATATATTTTAATATAGTCCAGTCACTGAAAGCGAAAATAAGGTAAAAGCTCCCAATTTTTTTGGATAACATGGATTTTCCTGAAAATTTGTATACAAACTCATCTCACCCCCCACTTCAAAAGTTATATTGTCTAGATGCGTGCTTTTTATCGCAGATTTACGTATTTTAAAGATTCAATTCATGTTCAAATATGTTGGATAAAGTTCCTTTCATGTTGTTTAATAAATATTGATGAAATTTAATTGCTTTTCAAACCTTAAAAATCCTAAAAAACTACCTTCCATGGCCAAAAAAATAGAAAAAACAGTTTAAAATATTCTTTTGGTGTACTCACAATGAATTGCATTTCTTTGTTATTCATTAGAAAGCTTACGACTCATTATAAAGTTGTAACCCTTAGAAACCATTCCTTATAATCAAAAAAATATTGTTGAGAGCTTGAGATGTTTTAATGGTATGCATATGTTGAATTATAATCTTTTTATTGGTTTTCAAATGATCTATGATATATTGCAACTTTTCAGCCACCCAAAAACCCTTATGGAAGACCTACCCCTCATAAAAAGCCCTACCCCTTATAGAAAAATTTCCTAAAAATTATCTGTGAGTTTGATATAATTAATTTTATTATTATTATTATTATTATTATTATTATTATTATTATTATTATTATTATTATTATTATTATTATTATTATTATTATTATTATAATACTTACTCTAATCAGTTCACAAGTGCTCCAAAATACACACAGATGATGGTAATTTACCCGCTCCGAAAATTTTACCGAAAAAATGCGATTAATTTTTTTACCATACTTTTGTAATTTTAAAGTTACAAATTTACTCAAAAAACCATTTTGTAGGGAATTTAAAGCACTTTAAGTTCTGTGATTAGGAGTTTTTTGAGCCCTTCGTGTTTTAGATTTGTAAGCTAAAAGGGCTCACGATATTCAGTCTTGGGGCTTAGCTGAGATTCTAACGGTCATAACTTTGTCCTACAAAAATTAAAAAAAAAAACAAATTTTCAGTAAGAAAAAACCTACAATTTCTTATTCTATCATTTTTTTAATAACTTTGTTAGTTTTTGAAATATTTTGAAAAAAGGAGATTTTTTAAAAAATTGAAAAATTTTATTCAAAAGTAAATGAAATATTTTTTAAATTTAGGCTTCTAAAATCGTTCAAATTCCCAGAATCTACTGTTAATACATAAATAAAGTAAATTGCAGAAGGAATACGTTTAATTTTTTTCCGTCAAGTCATTAACTTTAATACCAATTTTTTTTCTCAAAAATCAAGACAATCATTTTATTTTGATTGTAACTTCATTAGTTTTCATGCTAACGACTTTTACCAACACTCAATTTAAAGATCTTTTCAAGAACTTTAATAAGTGTTATATAAGTTTTCCTCGAAAAACCTTTAATTTTTCCGCTACAGGACGTTGAACGTTTCGATTATTGACTTCAATTTCTGGGAGTCATAACTCTGGTTCTATACCACCTACAAAAATAAAGAAAAACCAATCTCTTTGCTATTTAATTACCTTCATTTTTGCTTATGAAATTTTTTTTTATAAAACTTGTAGCTTTTGAGATATTCGCGAAAAATGGCACAAAAACACGCATTTCTTGGGCTAAAAACGAACATGTTTAGGCGCAAATAACTCAAAAAGCATTGACTGTACAAAAAATTCTTATAGGACATTTTTTGCTTACAATTCGTCCCTCTGTCGAATCGTCTATTTTTAATAAAAAATTCCCACCCTCCAGAAGGGGTGGTATCCACCCCTAGAGTAGAAGCACACGTCGGCACTATATAACTTTTGTTTGTTGGGCTATTCCCTAGCTACAGTTCAAATTTCACGTCAATCCATTCCATCCGAAAAAATTGGTAGCCAAAATGCTTCAGTGACTCGATTAATAACAACGTCGACAATTACAGCAATTTATGTACTGGGTGATTTTCCTTAATGTTGAGGCAGTAAAATTTTGTAAAAAAGTGAGCTTGTAGGATTTTTTCTATACTTTTTGATCAAACATATTAGTATACACGGTAGATAAAAAATACACTTTTTTACATGGGACACCCTATGTCTCAATTAATTTATTGATTCTTCGTTTAATTGTAAGCATTTTTTATATAACAAGTCATATTCTCAAAGTCAACGTCTTCGAAATATTAGCAAATAAAAATTAATAAAAAAAACTAAATACAGTGTGTTTATGATAAAAGGAACAAATTCGTTTAAAATTCACGTAATTATTTTGTGGAAAAACGCTTGCACGCGTCGATTAGTATTTTTCGTTGTGGATTTTTTGACATAAGAAAATTGTATACAGGGTGTCTCAAGAACAACATATGCAGTCATCATAGATTTTTTTTAATGGAACACCCTGTATAATGTGCCATTCTTGAATTGTACGGTAAATTCTGAACACGTTCTTGTACAACATACCATATCTTTTAAATCAGCGGTTTTCGTAATAATGACGTTTGAAACGTGGATAAATGGGAAAAAATAATAATGTTTATTCATAAAATATTATGTAAATAACAATTGCTTTATAATAAATGTTCAATGTTTTGTCCGTTTACTTCAATACATTTTTGTAGTCGAAGGATTGTTTCCCGTTCAACGTTTTCAGTTACCTCTGCTTGAATAAGTCTTATTTTCTGGCGTATTCTGTTTCAGGTCATCAATATTATTTGGTCTATTCACATAAACTTTAGATTTCAAATAACCCCATAAGAAAAAATCTAAAGAGGTTAAATCCGGTGACCTTGGTGACCACTCAATAGGACCTTTATGTCCAATCCATTTATTAGGGAAAGTTAAGTCAAGAAATTGTTGAACAGCAATTGCAAAATGAGGAGGTGCCCCATAGGAACCATATGATATTATGAGGAATATGTGGATCTTGTGGATTAGGAAAAAGCAACAGCTAAAGCGGGGATGAGTTTAAACTGAAGAAAGTATAAGTAGCGTTCTCCATTTAAATTTTCTTCAAAAAAATAAGGCCCAAGAATTCGGTTTTCGACAATACCCGCTCAAACAACCGACTTATGTTCAACGAGGATTTTCAGTTGCCCAGTACCTGCAGTTTTTTCTGTTGCCATTTCTATTTAAAACAAATTTCATATGTCAAAAAATTCGCAACTAAAAATACTAATCTTCACTGTATATCATCCAAAAATTGTTCTTAAAAATTGAATTATTCCAAAGACCTTCTTACAAAATCTGAATGGTTCTCATTTAGTTCATTTATTTCGTTCCTAATTAGTTGTTTTAAATATTTTATATTTTCAATATGATTTTGGTAAACGCAATTTTTTAAATATTCCCGTAGAAACGCGTCCATTGGAGTAAGATCTGGACTGTCGGCTGGCTAGTTAATTGGTGCATTTCTTCTACCAATCCATATGTTAAAACGTCGGTTTAAGTGGTTTCTGACTCTTAAGGTGCTATGGGATGGGGTCGGTCCTGCTGGAATATAACGTCTAAAGTCCAAAATGCTGCAAAGGTAATTCATCTATAAAATCGTCTAGGTCATTTTCGAGAAAGTTTAAATATGAGCCATTCTTGTAAATTTTTTGAAATATGCGTTATAGATAGCTATATTTGGATTTTCTTGAACAGGAAGTAATATATTATGTTACGCATCTTCGTTATCTTGCACCACTCTTTTCTTTCTGTTCAGATTTGATGTTTGTTGAAATTCTTCGAATATGCTTTTTAATTGTTTTTTTTTGCAAGAGCTTGCATTCTTAGACTTTCTCGACTTAAGTCTCGTTGCGATGCTGCGGAATTATAGTTGTTTCGAATGAACGAACTTAAAATTATTCGTTTTTCTCTTTGCGAGTATGGCATTTTTAACAACAATTTGTAGCGATATTTTTGAATTACTTGATATAGTTACTGTCACTGTCACTTTTATTGACTTATCCATTGCTACTAGATAAGAACCCAAAATTTTACATTTCAATTTTTATTTGCTAATATTTCAAATACCGTTGACAAGTATATAAGTATATAACATATAAAAAATGCTTAGAATTAAACGAAGAATCATTAAATTAAATTAGATATAGTGTCCTATTTAAAAAAGTATACTTTTTTTATCTACCCTGTATACTAATATGTTTGATCAAATACCTGTGCAAAAAGTACATAAAAAATTAGGGAACCCTGCCACTAGTGTCAGATTAATACCGAGGAATAATCTCGAAAAGTACAGGGAACAAAGTAATTTCCGAACAACTAATTCATCCCTGTTTTGGAAAATAAATTAAAAGGTTCTGTAAACTTAAAAACCAATGACATGATTTTTTATTTTTGTCGTTTAAGTATGTTATAATTTCTACATTTAAATGATGTTTTTCAATGATGTGACTTCGAGTGAAGTTGTTGAACTTAAGAACAAAGGCAAAGTTGAAATGGATGTCCGCGGATGGATGTATATCTCTAAAATAGACTTGTGATATCAACTATGAAATGTCAGTGTCAAAATATTAAAACCTATCACATTCACAGTCGAATTTCACCTTCTTTTTAATCACCCATCAGCATGGACATGCTACAGGGAAAGAAACTGGTAACCAAAGACTGCCAGTCCCACAAGGCGACCCACTACCTGAAAAAAGCGAAGATCATCATCTACTACTTCTCCGCCTCGTGGGTGGACGACGTGGACCTCCTGCAGAAGCTCAAAGCTATCTACGCGGAGAACGTGAAGAGAGAAATCGGCATGGAGGTCATCTACGTGTCCTCCGACACTGAGGAAAAGCCATTCAACAAACCCTTCAGAGAGCACCACGGACCTTGGCCGGCCATCGCACCCAAGAACATAGCTCTAGCGGAGGAACTGAGGCACAGGTACAACATAACCTGTCTGCCACAAATAATAGTGGTGAGGAAAGAGGACGGATTCATAATCACGAGGAAGGGGAGAGAAGAGCTACAGAAGACCGGCATGAACGTCTTGGTAGTTTGGAGCGACTACGATCCCGATATGACATTGATAGACGATAACCTGATCGATTTGACCACGCCTCAACAGCAAGAAGTTGCCACCGAGACTGCGAAACCCGACGAAGCTACCGAGCCAAAACAACAGAAAGAAGAATACGATGAGTACGATTTCACTCAAATTCAAAGCAAAGTTTTTTCATTCGGGCCAGGTAGGAAAAAAGGACCTAGAAAGACGTAATCTTGAATTCCTTGATTTTAAAAAGTAGACAGCGAAAATATTGTTTATGGCGTACCTGCGGTCGTTTCATCCATTATCAACAGTTATTGCAAAGGAATCTGTCTTTGTATAAAATTTCTGGTCGTATATACTTTCAGGAGACTCAAAAAGATGTTTATTTTAATTAATAAAAATAAATATTTGTGAGCGAAATATTGCTATTCTTTTGTCCCGTTTAATGAAAATTTTTTAATTCCGGATGATGCTTTTTCTCGTACAAATGTAAGCAAAACTACGAAAACATAAAATTTTCTCTCTTAATTCTTAAGACACGACAAGAAGGATCAAAAACGCAATAGTTTAAATAAATCACTATTTTAAATGTAGTGCCAAACGCATTTCGGAGATCTCCCGTGTATATGACTTTCGGATCATATTTTTCATTCCCAAGAGATATTCAGTTAATAAAACTTTAAGATAAGGAAACGAAAAAAGATGTGGTCTGCACTTTTATAGAAGATTCAGAGTTATGATTACAATTGCGCTCGAGTTCCAGTTTGCCTGACAGCATACTAATGATTTAGAGGTATATACAGTGTGTTATAATATTCCGTGTAATATGGAGGTACCTGCGATCAAAATAAGCAGATTTAACTTAGCTTACCTCTATCCTAAGTTTTATATTCATCTTCTTTCTTCAGTGTTAGATTTTTGGTTAGACAAAATTAATTTCATAAAAAATAACCCTTGACTTATCCTTTTGGCGGAAAGGTTTATTTCATTAATTTATATTTTTTCGTTATAAAAGAATGATAGTTAACAAAATACCCACATAAAAGAAAGAAAGATCTTTCTTTCCCAAGATAAGCAAAAGATTTTATCAAGAATAACTTTTTCTTGAAAAATCAACTATAAAAAGTTTACAAGAATGCGCACCCCATCCGGGAACACACTGTACTATACAGCGTGTCCCGTTTTTCAAGTTCACACCTCTGGAAATGTGAGAAGGTTGTGGACTTTCCGCAAGCCAATTTTTTTACAAATAGTACCCTGAAAGGAGGTTATATTCTACTAATCATTTTATTGATGTAATAAAAGCCTGGTCTACTACGATTTTTATGAAGGGGTCGTTTTTCCAGAAAGTAGTGTTAGGCATGTTTTTATAAAAAATATAATATTACCAGGCAATTCAACACCTATCAAAATACCCACATACCAAATTTGAACGATGTCTATTGAGTGATTTTTATGGGGTGCCAAACTTCAAAAGATGAGGGAACCATAAACAAAAAGAAACAAAGACTATATCCTGCATTACTCTGCGCAGGATCAACAAGTTGTTTGTTGAAACTGGTAAGGTGTAGTATTCAAAAAACACAAAAGAACTGTTGGTTCAATAAATCACCAACAAGTAATATTACAATATTTTCGTAATAACCCAAAAAGTTGTCTCCGAAATGCCAGATTGGTGTTAAACTGTACGCAAAACAAAATTCGTCGTCTAAAAAATCATAATATAAAACAGTTTAAATTAGTTAAATGACGATAATTTTCTGGGCAGTATTATTTTTACTGATGAAGCTACATTTACAACAAACGGAGTCGTATATTCTCAAAATATCAGATTTTGAAATGAAAATAATGCTAATTTTGTAATTCACAGAAAGTTAAAGTGTTTTGCGGAATTTTAAAGCAGATAGTAAGAGGTCCTTTCTTTTTTTATGATATCTCAGATGAATGAATTATGGGACATTACATAGGATATTCCTTTATTGGAAAGAAGAAATATTTATTTACAGTTGGATGGAACTCCAAACCACAACACTGTCGCAGTCATTAACTGGCTTAATCACCAGTTTTGGAATAAGTCCAGTAGTACTATGGCCACCAAGATCCCCTGATTTGTCCCCTATGGACTACTTTTGGAGTTTTATAAAACAAAAGGTTTATAAAAACAGACCAAGGAATTTGAATAACCTAATGAATTGCATAAGATAAGCTTGTACAGAGATTACTCCACAACAGCTCTATGTAAATTTATTTTTAAATTTAACAAGGGGATTGGAAAAATGTGTTCGACTGGAAGGAGGTTTGGTGGAGAAAACTAAAACTTAATTTAGATTAACGTTTTGCAATTTACTTGTTTAACAACTTACTATTTATAATTCATTACGTTTTTTTGTACTTTATTATTTTTATTTTAATAATAATTAATTAATATAATCAAAAGTTTTAAATTTATAGTGCCTGTATTTTTTCTTTGTCCGGTTGTTACTTGTTTTCACTTTCATGATAATGTTTGACCTAATTATTATACTTCTTAGTTGTTTGGCACCCCATAAAAAAACACTCAATAGACAATTATCGATCAATTGTGGTATATGTGTATTTCGATGAGTGTTGAATAGCCTGGTAATATTATCTTTTTGATAAAAAAATGCCTAATACCGCTTTCTAGAAAAACGTAGTAGGCCAGGGTTTTGTCACATCAATAAAATGATTAGTAGAATATAACCTTCCTTCAGGGCACTATTTGTGAAAAAAATGGCTTGTGGAAATTCCACAGCATTCTCATTTTTCCAAAGGTGTTAACCTGAAAAACGAGACACACTGTTTATTTATCATAATTACTTGTTTGCATTTTTTAACAACTATTTGTATTTTCTTTTTTATTGCTGTTCTATTTCATTATTTATGTTTGCACACATTTTGATCTGTGTTTTATTCATCAACGACTGATTTTTTAAATATAATTTATAGTTCTGTTTCTATTTTTCTATTGCTATGTATTTATTGATGAATTAAATAATATTATTAAAATTAAGTAATAAAAAGTATGCCTCTGAGCTCAATGTTGCTAAATTCGACATTATTGGAAATGACACGAATTTTATTAAACGACTAAAGAAGTAACAATAAGAAAGTAGAAAGTGAACGTTCTCTATCCCATTGAAGAAAACATTTTTCTCAGGGTATGAACCTGGATATTTCCAGCCGACGTTGCCTCCCGCGGACGTATAAATTCGGAAACCGTCCCAGCGTACCCAATTTGATTTACAATCCCTGGAAACGGTCGGTCCCGAATTAAATTTTTCATAAATATCAGAGCCGGGGCACAAACATGGCGATTACGAGGCGTATGCGCAAACACGCTTGAATTATTAAGGGCCGTCAAATCGGAACGGGCCCAAGAAAAACTGCGGGTACCAGTTGCATTCAGGGGGTCAGCAGGCTGGCGGCGGCGGTGGAGGCGGCAGGAGAGAAGTCCAGGTGTGGGTCGGGGGCGTATCGATCCACCGTTTGCGGGGCTGGTGCGTCACAACACGTCACTACATCCACTCGACCTACCGCTTCTGTTACTGCGACTGTGTTGCGGAGGTATATCTTCAAGTTCTCAGGATTTTTAGGATTGTTGATTGATGCAATTTTTCAGGAGATTTTGTTCAATCAATCGGCGATCTCATTATCTCGAGCGTAGACTCAACAGTTTGTTATTGTTCACTGTAAACGAATTATTACTGACGACGCTAAATTGACATTTGTGCATTTTTCAGTAACGCCCGTCGTTTGTGTCTGTTGTTATCCTTTTAATTCAGTTTCTTCCATTGTTTTATTGTTTCCTTTTGCTTCAATATTAAATCGCAAATTTTATATTCTATTTTAAAGGTAAGCAAATTCGAATTCAAAAATAAATTCACAGACACACAGACAAAAAGAACTAAAAATTATATTCAAACTTCGCGCCTGTTTCTAATCCAAACGACAAGTACGCTCGGGGGCGATGCCAGAGAAGAGCTAAAAGTTGTATTTCCAGCCGACGCACTGTGGGGCATATTCCCAAAAGGCTGGCCAAAAATCAAAAAAGAATGTTTCTATACTCCGCGGTCGAAATTATAGAGAGTGACTAAGGCATAATATAAAAACACTACTACCATAATGCGTATAAAATATAAAATGATTTTTATACGGTTTAATATTATTTATCTTTGTGCCGCTCGCTACGCACATCGATAGAATCTATAATCGTCTAGAGACCGAGTTACACTGAACGTCGATCTATTCTATCTCTGTCTTTTGCACTTGGTAGGGAATAGGGAAATGCTTTTTTAGTGGGTGTAAACGGACTTGATTTAACCCGTCCTGAGAAACGTCATAGCATAAGCGTAGACGAGGGGTCTAATTCCATGGCTATAATAAATTTATAAATTAAAAAAACACAATTAGGACGTTTTAAAATGCTATAATAATTAAAATGGATCAAAGTGCCTGTTATAGCAAACCGTAAAAAATGTTAGATATTATGTTTTATTATCTTTTCTCATTATTTTCTATATCTTGTTGCCTTTTACGCAGACACGCCAATGGATTTTCGTTCCCAGCACGCTTCATCCCCCTTACTAGTCCAAAAGCTAGCGATGAGTCACTCTCTATAATTTCGACCGCGGAGTATAGTTGAGGAATTTCTAGCTCTTACCCTTTTTGAGTTATCTTGAAAAAGCCCTTTGTTTTATCTTTTTCCACCCTTGGCCGGGGGTTGAACAAAAAATTACTCTCACTTATTTTTATAATATACCACTAACTCATATCAAAAATTCAGCCAAGTTGACAAAATTTCGATTTAAAGGCTTAGTTAATTGGACTACTACGTCTGACGGCTATATTAAATCCTCCACATGTAATTTTGACCCCAAATTCGTAATAAGCGAATTCAAACAAATTTCAGGTCGATTTCTAAAAATTTTTATTTTTGGTCAGCTTTTTTGGGATGCTGCCCCACTGTACGACGGTGTCAGAACACGACGTTTGAGGGCACCAGGTTCCCGAGAGCCGACGTCGTACCGAAGATCGGTCAGGTTTCGAAGCGTTTCAGAAAGGTGATCGGACGTCGACTTTGATCACTTGCTGTTATATCACTAGGGACAAGTACCTGTTAGTTAGGCTAAGTTTTTTGTTCATACTGACTCTTCCTATACTTAGGATGATAGGGATACTTAGTAAATCGTCATTGCTATTCCAAGATA